AATGTGACTTGCAGCCAGCCCTTCGGGTCCTTCAGCCTTCCAATCGGGCCCCTGATCTTTGGTTTCGAGGAGCCATTCGGCCCTCTTCGGACCTCCTTAAACAAAGGCCTGCGACCGAATCGGGCCATTATTCGACACTTAACCCCCTGTTGCGCACTGTGGACCCCTGACCGACACAGGGCCCCCAAAACATTGTTCCAGGGACCTAGACCAATGCAAGTCATGGCCCCTGGCCTTGCTCCTGCCTGGGAAATGGGCTCCGAGGGTTCAGACTGACAGGGAGCCAACTGTTCCGTGGTCGTGGCCTCTGACCAACCGAGAAACTCGCATTGTCTCTTGGTGTCTTCAAACGGCGCAAGAGGACCTTTGACTGACATATCAGGTTACGACCCTACGAGCCGCGATTCTTTATGTTACCTACAGACAGTCCTTCGGGCCCCTATGCCCTCCAACCGAGCCCTTGATCGTCGGTTCCGCTGGACCACCCGGACCCCTTTTCGGGCCTCATCAAACACTTCCCTTGGTCAGCTTGGAGCCCCTTGCGAACACAGGACACTCCGTTGGGCACTGCGGACCGGTGACAAATACACGGGCTCCGACCAGTGTAAATCGCTGGCTCCGGCTTTGTAGCTGATTGATGGCTGAAGTGAGCCCTCAGGCCAATACCGACACGGAGCTGACTGTGCGGTACAGTTAGTACAGTACAGTACGGTGTCTGGCCGACATATAGACCCAAATCGACTAAGGAGACTCCAATAGGTGCGAAGGGCCCTCTGACTGTCATTTCACGGTCCATCCCCACAGGCTAGGCCCCCTCAATAAAACCCGACCAGCCCTTCCGCTCTCAAGCTCTACAATTGGGCCTTTCATCGTCGGTCCCGGTGGCTCTTCGGGGTCTCCGTAAGCCCTACCTCTTACCGAATCGGGCTCCTTGCCAATACGGGGCCCCCTGTTAGTCGCTGTGGGGCTCTGGCAGACGCCAGGGCTTCGACCAATGTAAATCGCCTGGATCTTGCTTTTCCCCTACTTGAGGAATGAGCCCTCAAACTCGTGCCAACACGGAGCCGACTGCGCGTTATTAGTGGTGCCTGACTGCCATACAGGCCCTTTTCGACTCAGAGGGGCCCTGATCAGCGCGCAGCGCCCTCAGGATGGCATCGAAGTGCCCGGCCCTGCGGTCTGAGCCCCTGAATGCGACCTCCGCCAGCCTTTCGGGCCCTTCGGGGTCTTGACTGTATAATCCGGGGGGGAGGGGGCACGTGCACCCTGTGGCCCCTCCTACCTGTGTTTCTGCTTTCTCTTACTAAGACATGGAGACATTAACATTATACATTACCATACACAGACATAACATACACAGACATACATTAACAGCATTGTCAAGACATAAGACACTAAGACAAGACATTACTAAGACTCTTACTAAGAATGCAATGTAAATTACAATGCTGTTGGCATCTTTAAGGTCATAAACTGAGGGATCAGGCGTTAAATGACTATGCAGAATAAATCAGCAGTACTATTCATTTCACAATGGTTCAGTGGATCAGGGCAGCGCCTTGGATTTTGACTTGGGCAGCATGATTTTCCAGAGGTCCTCTTAGGCGACATGAGGCCTCCTCACAATGGGACCCTCCTGGTGGTGTCGTGTTCCAGGGAGTGGCACCGAGGACACTGTGCTCTGCCATCAAATTGTGGCATGCATTCTCTTCAAGTGATATCCAGAATAGAGGGTTTATGGTTATCCAGCAAAGGGGCTCGCTTTCCTAAAACAGGACCTCCTATTAAGGAAAGGGCCTCCTGATGCATAGAGAGGCCTCCTAATGCAGAACAGGATGACTCCGATTCATGGAAGGGCCTCCAAATCCAGCCAGGAGTATCGTTTTCCCAAAGCAGAGCACCTTGATCCAGAATCACAGCTATCTGATGCATGAAAACGGCCTCCGGTTACAGAAATGGGGGCCTAAAAATAGAGGGGGCCTCATGTCCCAGAACAGGGGTATGCGGAGGTCTCCCGGGGAGGTTCGTAACGGAGACCTCCCGAGCCAGCAAAGCGGGCTCCTGAACATAGTGGCGGGCCTGCTAATCTAGAGTATGGCGTGCCTTTCCCCAAAGGTGGCCTGGCGATTCAGAAACAGGCCTCTTATGTAGAACAGGATCCCCTGAGCTCGAGTTATTGCCCTCTAGCACAGTTATGAGGAGCTCTTCGATCTAAATTTTTGTAATCAATGGGCCTTTGTTTTGAAAGAAGGGAACATCCCAGCAATTTTAAAGAAGCAAACATACTCTTGAGCCCCTGCCCACCGGCGGGGTGGGACAAGTGCCCCTTTTGAGTGTGGACAAGTGCAGTGGACTCTTTCTTAGCCGCTTGCACTCAGGAGCTTTGCCAGAATTTTAATTGTGAACGTAAATGAGGGTGACGTAAATTGTGGATCGATCAATACGAGTCAGCAGTTTGTAATGGCATGGTCATCCCATATTCGTCTGGGAGTGATTAACCTCGGTTCAAAATCGAGTCTGAGAACAATGACTTAACGCAGTTTTGCCATGCGCCTCGCAAGTTTAAGAAGCACATTTCTGCTCGGCGTTGCAGTCTCTGCAGATGTCAGCACACAGGCGGAGCATGTCGGCTCAGTCTTTTGTGTAATTTGTTTTACAGGTCGATTCGATACAAGGGTGGCAACTCCGTTTGTGCTGACCTTTGTCATGTTTGACCTCGTTTCGATCCGCCGTATTCATTACTATGAAAAGCCCCTTGCCTTTTCCGGGCACAGGGCTCCGTGGGTAGAACTCTTGGGAACACATCCTATTCCCCGGCCACAGCTAGAGCCACTCAAACTCAGGCGTGGGGTTCCTGCCAGCTGCCATGTTGGCGACCCGCAGTGGTATCCCCAGGTCGAAACGGAAATCCTGGCAGGGAATGAGCATACATTGGTCCCCTGCCTGACGCTGGAGACCCCCTGATGCGGTCATTTGGGCCCCATTTGGGCCAGACCGGCTCTGGGTTCCTTGCCAATACAGGACCTTTGTTAAGCACCGTGGTTTGATTAATTGAGGGCCCTGACCAACGTGAATCACGGGCCCCGGTCTTGTCCCTGTTTGTGAAACGCCTCAGTCCCAGACCTGACCCTGGAGCAAGCGGGTGACGAATCCATCGCTTGTCACGATGGCTAAGCCTCCACCACATCCTTTCAGTTTTGCACAGTAGGCTCGGGGGCTGAACGGAAAAACAGCCGTGGTTGCACGAAACCAGATTTCTCCCCGGCTTGAGCACACTTTCCTCCAAACGTCATGGAGTTGCAATTCCAACTGAACATTAAACCAGCTCTGCTGTAATTCGTCTCCACACTCTGTCTCGTCGGAAGATGTTGTTGGCATCATTATCCTTTTGTTTGGAGCCGATCTTCGAAGCCTGGTTTCGGCTCTCGACGTAGGGTCGGTGTCATGTGAGTTTAGACGCTGTTGGACATACATGGCTTCGGGAGTTACCAGTGAAAGCCGACGCGCGCGACTACTGCAGGCCGCCAAGGAAACCCCGCCCGGTATCCGCAAGACGGGGTGCAGGCTGCACCGCAGCATCCGGCTAGGCGTGTTCAACATAGCTAGTGTTATTTTAGTGGCCACTGTTGGACAATTACGTGGCTCTCATGTTGCATCGAGCATTCACGTTGCAGCAGAGGTCGGCACACGCTTGAAAGTTCTTCCGCACGTAGACGGTTGAAACGCTGGTCACAGTTTTGGTTGCTTTCATTCCGCTGGTTCTTTTCATATTCCGCCAAGACGAAGGATAAGACGTCATGGCAAAATCACGCAACTTTCTAGTCAGCCAATATGCTGTGGTAAACTTGGCCAGATTCAACAGGACATAAATCGTGTAACTAAAGACACGCAGAATGCAGGAGAAACGGAAAATAATCATGTAAAACGGCCCGACGCGGCCGTGGCTAGGTCAGCCAGCTATACTCAGCTGAACATGGCGGTGCGGTCTTCATTGTCTTTGTTCAGCAGAGTCACCATGTCCCGCCATGGCAAGTCGGCGTCAGGTCATCACTTGATCCCAGTCCTCCAGGAAGCTTTTCAAATACGAGCGAAGGAAAGTATATTTCGGCAGCCACGAAAAACATGATTAGAAAAGCACTTGGCTCACATTTAGACATCTTGCGAATGGACAACTCTCAGTGATACAAGTTCAGAATGCACCCTGGACCTGCACTACTTAAAGAATTATTACAGTACATACAGCCTGTCTCGGGTGAAAAAGAATAACACATCTACACTGTTCGCCTATACACCATATCACCGGCCTTCACAACAAGGGGCAATGATGACACCAATTGAGTTCAAGAGGCATACACACTGTTTCTACATACATACAGTCAATACGAGCGGATGCAAAGAAAAACAACGAAAAAAACAGACCATTGTTTTAATACCAGCAAAAACAAAAAGCATAATGTTGCTTTAGCGTCCACGCTATGGTTATATGCGTATGACATGGAGCAAAACCATCGATGCTAGACGATGACAGACATCCAAAAAGTTGCCAGTCACATTATGATCAGACCTGCCTGCAACGTTGTAATTCCGACTCATCTGCCCGCGCCAGCGTTGATACACCACATCGACATCCACATTGAAACGTACACAAGTCAGTACTTGACTGTCGCAGCACGCGCAGCAGCGCAGCGAGGAGCCCGCATGCAGCCCGGTAGCTGCGTGCTCTGGAATGGTGAGCGGCCTCCGCCCCGGCGGCAGCTGCCGCTCACACCCGGCGGCGACGGTGCGAGGCTCGTGGATGGGGCGCACGACCGGGGCGGGCTGGCCGGCCATCCCACCTCGGGCCACACGCGGCGCCCACTCCCCACCGAGATCAGCCGCGGCCCGGCCGGCTGGCCGCGCGGGCACAATCACAGTCAGATGAGCAGCTCAACGTCCGTCTGCTCGCTGAACTGGCGCGCCGCCGCCGGCGAGATGGCCGGTCCGGCGCGCGCGCTCACGTGGCGCAGAGCGGCGCACTGGCGCAGGTGCGCCAGCGCCGCCTCGGTCACGCCGCGGCAGCCGCTGATGTCGAGCCACGCCAGCGTGCGGCGCAGCGGCGCATCGGCGGCGACCAGCGCCGCCAGGCCGGCGCTGCTGAGCCGCGCACAGCCGCTGAGGTCGAAGCCGCGCCAGCCGCGGCAGCTGCTGCGCCAGGCAGCGACAGCCGGCGTCGCTGACGTCCGTGCCAGGCCACGGAGAGGCGGCGCAGAGCGCGTAGCCGGCTGCTGGCGTCGGTAGCAGCCGGGCCGCGCCTCGGCCGGCGGCGCAAGCAGCTCGCGCAGCCGGCTGTCCGTGAGGCCCTCTACGTGCGAGAGGTCGAGCGAGAGCAGCAGGGGACAGCAGGGTGTGCGCAGGCCGGCCACAGCCGCGAACGGCACGCCCTGCAGGCTGAGGTGGCGCAGATGCGCCAGCCGGCTAACCAGCCAGCCGAGCTGCGCGGCGCCCAGCTGCGCCCAGGCCAGGTCCAGCTCGGCCTGGCTGTCGGCGCATCACCGACACGAGCGTGCGCTCCGTCAGGCGCCGGTGGCCGGCCGACAGGCGCGTCCACAGGCGGCGGTCGAGCGCGGCGGCGCTCCAGGCGCGGCAGACCAGCAGGCAGGCGGCCAGGTCGGCCGGCGCCAGCCACCGGAACACGGCCACTAGCAGCTCGCGGTTCTGCAGCGGCTCGGCCGGCGGCGGCGCGGCGACCGGCGCCAGCGGCCGCACCGGGTACAGCGGCCGCCGCAGCTGGCGCCGGCTGCGCGCCTGCACGTACTCGTACAAGGTTGCTGAGTGTCGGTGTGCGCGTGGAGCCCTCCGGCTCCGGGTCGGGCAGCGGCGGCTCCGGCTCGGGTGGCTCCGGCAGCGCGGGCTCCTCACTGGCGACACCAGGCTCCTACAGTAGCGACAGACGGCTGCTGCCACCAACGCCAGCCGAAACTCCAGCATAGGACGGCAACATCGGATGGGCGCGGAGGTCAAAGCACGGCAGCCGACGTGCTCCCGTCACGCATGAGAACACTCGAACGTCGCAGACACAGTCTCGCGCCAGTAGGCAGCTACTCCAGTACAGCACACGCATAATACGAATCCTCTTACAGCGATTATGCAAAGCAACTCACGAAAACCGAGCCCTGGCACCATCAGTAAAACCAACTCATGGGAAACCGTATTCCCAGCACCAGCATAACCAGCTCAAAGATCAAAGCACACGCAGGGCCAGCATTTTCACGACAAATGTAACGGAAGAACGTAGTGAAATACCCTACTCCATTCTGCCGGGGTGGGACTTGGCATGGCGTCTCTGGTGGAGACGCCACGCCGTGGGGTGGAGCTGAACCCCGTCACTTCGGAGCTGGGCTGGACGCCTCTGCGGGCCGCTCTGCGGGCCCCGTCGGCGCAGCGCCGCGCGTCAGGCCGTCGGCGTACCTGAGCGGCGGCGGCGTGGGCCGGCGCCGGCGGCTGCGCGCCCTCGGGGCTCAGCTCCGGCCGCTGCCGGTCGTCGGTCGACTCGAGCGAGAGTGGCGCCGTCAGCGGCTCCACCGGCTCCAGCTTGGGAGGCGCCGGCGAGTCGGCGCCCGAGGCCGGCTCCGTCGTCCCGGCCGCAGCGCAGCCGCCCTGCCCGGCCGGCGCACTGTCAGCCGGTCCGGTCACGGCCCAGCGCCGCCCGGCGGCGAGCGTGTCCATCACACATGACGACCCAGTCCGCACGTGGCTGGACACCAGCGACCTCAGCAGAATACGGAGCCAACGTGTAGGAAAGGTGGGCAAAGCATGCACAGCACTTCGGACGTTTCCTTGTGTTCCCATGTGAATACGATCTGACCGCGGACTCCTGCGGCTCACGGAGAAGCCAATCTATAAAGCCACTCAGTGCACGATCGTGAAACGACAAAAGCGCGTCAGAAGGGGTCTCTCGCATTTTCAAAGCGGCTGTTGCGAGTGTCACATACCACCAGCACATGGACGTGCACACTGCGACAGCGTTTCATCCCGCGACAGTGCGACGAGCCGCCGCCAGTCGGCGCGCACACCCCACCTGCGGCTCGGACGGCGTCGGTTGCGGCGGCTGCTCCAGCTTCGGCTGGACGCCAGGCGGCAGCCAGAGCCGCTCCTGGTCGGGCACGGCCTGCGAGGCCGGCACGCCCACCGGCTCGTCCAGGCGCACCTTCTTGGGACGGCCCGGGGGCCGGCCCGGCTTCCGCTTGGCGCCGGGCGGCATCAGCGCAGGGGGCAGCACCGGCGGCGCCTCCTCCAGACCCAGGTCCACACACTCGGGGCAGCTCCAGCAGTTGGGCAGCCCCGGCAGCACGCGGCCCTCGGTCTCTGTACTCAGCTGGTAACGACAGAGCGCACAGTCAGGCGGGCCACCGAGGACAGAGCGCAGTCAGGCGGGCCACCGAGGACAGAGCGCACAGTCAGGCGGGTCACCGAGAACAGAGCGCACAGTCCGGCGGGCCACCGAGGACAGAGTGCACAGTCAGGCGGGCCACCGAGGACAGAGCGCACAGTCAGGCGGGTCACCGAAAACAGAGTGCACAGTCCGGCGGGCCACCGAGGACAGAGCGCACAGTCAGGCGGGCCACCGAGGACAGAGCGCACAGTCAGGCGGGCCACCGAGGACAGAGCACACAGTCAGGCGCGCCACCGAGGACATAGCGCACAGTCAGGAGGGCCACCGAGGACAGAGAGCACAGTCCGGCGGGCCACCGAGGACAGAGCGCACAGTCAGGCGGGCCACCGAGTACAGAGCGCACAGTCAGGAGGGCCGCCGCAACAGAGCAAGGCTCGCGCCAGGACTACAATTCTTAGAATGCCGCAAACATGCCACGGCGGCAGGACTGACAGGCACAGTACCTATGCGGTTCTACAGCACAGAAAGGCGATCACAGCATAGTAACGTAAAGTTTTATCATGGGACACCCACCACCCTTCCACGCCTGCCCAGTATTCATGTACAGTACAGCGACTAAGACGACACTCGATAAATACAACACATCACATAAATGCAAGGTGCGGAGCACGCGTACTCGAACCCCACCCACACGGCTAATGCCAGCTAGCCGAGTACCCCGGTATCCATGCTGGGCACCGGTACAGCAAGCGGACAGCCTGACGGCGGCGGCTGGGGGTCACAGGCCCCGGCCTGGCACACTGGCTGACCTGGCGCATGGTGCAGGCGATGTGCGCGATACGGAAGCAGCTGCGGCACTCGTACAGGGTGCTCTTCTCAGGCCGCTGCCGCTTGCCGGCGACAGGCGAGAGCGGCCGGCCCCAGCCCGTCAACTCGCAGTAGTGACAGACGGCCGTCACCGGCAGCTGCGGCTGCGGGCGGAGCGGCACGTCAGGAGGGGCGCCATACACAGGGGGAGCACACACCACACCAGCGGGCACCGGGTTCTCGGCGGGCGGCCGCCACCCCGGTCTGTCCCGTACACCGACGGTATACCGTGCAGTGGGCGGGTACTAACGCCCCCGTGCCCCGCGGAGACCGCGCCGCAGTCAACAGACAGCCGCAGCCACGTACAGAAGCGCGCTGACTTGACGGGGAACCGGGCCAGTATCAGCGCCACGTGATGAGTGCATCACCACGTGATTAGAGCGCATCGCACCGCTCCCACCGCGCGGCATGGCCTCACACATCTTGTTCAAAGAAGACGGCACGCACCACGGCCAACCCCCGGGCCCCGGTCACAAGACCGCAGCGACAGGGACAGGCTGCACCGCAGCAGTGGCAGGCCAAAGCCGGCTTACCACGCCACGGGGGAGCGCCCATCGCCATGCAGGCGTACGGTGTCGCGGTCTCGGCGGGAGTCACCCGGCGCAGGTCACAGCGCAGATGGAAACATCCCGCAGGGCCACGTCACTGTCGCAGAGTCGCCACCGACAGCCGGAGGGACAGAGAGAGTACACCGGCTGGCCGTCGCCAGGGACAGGGCGCCTACCTTCTGGCAGACCCGCATCTTGCAGGACTGCTTGATGATGCCCGGACCGCCAAACTTGGGCATGTCCCGGCAGCAGGCGCACTCCCTGCACTCGTCTCGAGTGCAGCCGTCGCACTCCTTGCCTGCAAGCAGCGCCGGACAATGGATCGACCCGGCATAGGGGCCTTGCTCCAACTGGGTCCAGGATCTTACACTGCAAGCGCGGTAAAGCGCGTGCAACATGTGGCCAACAAATCTGAAAACGCCGTTGAAGCCTAGCGGGAGGTAAGATCACTGATCGCAACATAGCCACCAGGTGTGGAGAGGGCCACTTCTTAATCCCACAATCACCCAAACGATCAGGGGTCGCGATAGTGTGATGGCTTAGCTGCGCGTCTGGGAAACCGGAGATGCGGGGTTTGATTCCCTGCGACGGCCGCCCTCACTGCCAGGGTGAGAGGCAGGCGACGCCACATGGCCTCAGTAGCTGAGTCAATCGCAAAGTCTCGATCACACACACACACTCCGCACCCCACACAAAGGGAAATCCACCTTAATCCTAAAATGTCTTGCATGCACGTGTACGACAAAGGGAGATGACCAGATACGGACCATAAATATTCCACAAAACCAAGATCCTCCATTTCGCCGCCGTTTCCGCTTCAAGTGAAACTATGGCGGTCGCGTACCTGCACCGACGCGTCACACAGCCAACGGTTTGAGGGATCACGCAGCATTAGCTTGCCGACTTGGTTTTCAAGCACTGGACATTTGGCGAGTCCGTGCTCATTGCAAACATAATTAAAGTGCTTGTTTCCCTTACTGGTTCATTTCAAACGTTTGCTTCCCCTGCCGATCAAGCCAGATTGTTTGGCTCCAATGTTGGCCCATCTAGCCCATTCACCCCAATGCTGACCAATTTCACGTGCCTGCCTCCAATGTTCGCTTTTACCAGGCCGGCCCCAGTGGTCTCCCACGACACGCACACACACACATACACACGGCTGCGCGGCCCGACACGGAGCGGCGCACGCCGTCGGCCGGCTGGCCGGACCGGCCACTCACAGCGCACGCGCCGCCGACGGTCGCCCTTCTTGCCCTTGAGTACCCTCCTGGCGAGGGGCGTGGCGGCGCCGGGCGTGCGCGGGCCGCGCGGACCCTTGCGCGGCGAGGCGTCCGGGTCCAGCTCCTCCTCGGCCGTCTTGACGTAGCCCTGCAGCATGAGGCGCAGCTCCTGCCGGCGCGGCGCGGCGGCGGCGTCAGCGGCGGTGCGCATGGTCGGCGACACGGGCCGAGACGCGCTCCGGTGCCGGGCCAGCGCCGCGTGAGCGTGTGTTGGCAGCACAACGCAGAGCTAGTGAAACTCAGAGACGGTAGAGTGGTCCACCGCTCGGCCGCTGAGCCGTCTTACTACAGTACAGGGGCAACTACAATACAGTTACTACAGAACGGGAGTACTGGGGGCGCACCGTCTGCATTATGAGAGTGTAGACGGCATTTATTTTTGTGAGCACAGCTTCGATGACCTTGCGCATCGCGGTCACCGGCTGTCCGCTGTCTGGCCGCTATCGGCATCCGTTGTCTGGCCGCATCGTGCCAGTCGCCCCGCTCCTGCCCGACCTGCCCAACAGCAGAGCACTCTCCGCACATGTGCGTTGTCCGTCCGTCGCTCGGTCTGTACCAGTCCGTCCACCGTCAGGTCCGCACCTGTCTGCCCGCCGTCAGGTCCGTACCCGTCCGTCTGCCGCCAGGCCCGTACCCGTCCGTCCGCCGCCAGGTCCGTTCCTGCCCGTCCGCCGCCAGGTTCACACCTGTCCGTCCACCGCCAGACCCGTGGTAGTCTGTCCGCCGCCAGGTCCGTACCCGTCCGTCTGCCGCCAGGTCCGCACCTGTCCGCCCGCCGTCAGGTCCGTACCCGTCCGTCCGCTGCCAGGTCCGTACCTGTCGGTCTGCCGCCAGGTCGGCACCTGTCCGCCCGCCGTCATGTCCGTACCTGTCCGTTGTCAGGCCACTGCAGCGCCGGCTGGCCGGTGACCGCCAGCTTGGGACAGTCGAAGCGGTGCCGCTCCACCAGCAGGCGCACGTCGCCGATCAGCGCGATCGGGTCGCGGATCAGCTCCGGCACGCACTTGCGCGACGCCGGCTGGCCATGCAGGTACAGCACGATCGCCTGCCGGCCGGCCGGCCCGTCAGCGGCTGCCACGACGCCGGCCGGCCCCACCGGCACCCAGTGCTTGACGCTCAGCGTCGGAGGCGTCCCGGGTGGGGTCGCGTGAGCAGTGGCCACACGTTTGGCCGGGGCCGGGCGGTCTCGTGATACCGTGCAGGCGTGTCACTCCCGGAAAGGTGACCGTACATAGGGCGATCAGAAGCGTGTCGTCCGTTTCCAGACCGCGCCACCCGAACACATCGCCGTGGGGAGGCACCATTGGGTGATGGAATATTCAGGGCTGGACAGATCAAACAGGGCGAGGCCGACGCCGGTCCCGTCCCGGCACGGCACAGCGTCGGCCGCGCCAGGCCGGCTACATACATCATCACGAATGGCGTGGGTTACATTTGCATGTGGCGGCAACCGGCACCATTTATCAGCGCGACACCGTCCCGCGCCACGTGCTAATCCGACGCCCGCCATCGCCCAGCAGTCCCAACACACACACACACACACGCCACCAGTCCCGGACTGCGCCAGTCGACCTGACTCGGCCTAGCCCGGTCACCGGTGGGCGCGAGCTGCGGCGACGGGGGCGGCGCAAGCGCGCGCACCCACCTTGAGGCCGTGCAGCTCGAAGGGCGTGAGGTGGACGTGCGGCGCGGCCGGCCGCGGCGGCGGCGGCGCCCGCTCGGACAGCTCGTCCAGGCCCAGCACCAGGTGCGAGCGGCCCAGCAGGCAGTGCACGTACCGCTCCAGCACGTACCACAGCATCTCCGTGAAGAACGGGTAGCGGTACTTCTGCTGCACCTGTGGCGGCGCCGGGCGGCGGGGCAGCGTCAGGCGACAGCGCCGGCGAGGGCGAGGTCCGGCAAACCGATCCGTCGACCAATAGCTCATTCGCGCTAATAGGACGAGCAGCCGACGAGCACACGTTCCATGAGTCAATACGTTGGGCAGTCTCAATGCCCATGCAAACCAGGCTTATCACAATCGCTCGATGAGCACAAATCGGAACACGACGGCACCAGCCGCGGGCGGGCGGTGCTCTCGTCGCAAACGATGTCATCCACTGACGGCAGCGCTGGACGGAACCGGCTATTTTTCTGCGCGCGTGACCGCCCTCGTCCCCTCCCTCGTCCCCTGTGCTGACCAAACTCCGTCAATACGACACTGCGGCGCGGAGCGGACGCGTCTAAACGTAAACATATGAACACGTTCCACCACTTACCGAGGCGGCCGGGCGACGCGGCGGCCCCGGACGCCACACTCACCGGGCGGCGCGGCGGCCCTGGACGGCACACTCACCGCGCGGCGCGGCCCCGGACGCCACACTCACCGGCGGCGCGGCGGCCCCGGACGCCACACTCACCGGGCGGCGCGCGGCCCCGGACGCACACTCACCGGGCGGCGCGGCGGCCCCGGACGGCACACTCACCGGGCGGCGCGGCGGCCCCGGACGCCCACTCACCGGCGGCGCGGCGGCCCCGGACGCCACACTCACCGCGGCGCGGCGGCCCCGGACGCCACACTCACCGGGGCGGCGCGGCGGCCCCGGACGCCACACTCACCGGCGGCGCGGCGGCCCCGGACGGCACACTCACCTGGGCGGCGCGGCGCCCCGGACGCCACACTCACCGGGCGGCGCGGCGGCCCCGGACGGCCACACTCACCGGGCGGCGCGGCGGCCCCGGACGGCACACTCACCGGGCGGCGCGGCGGCCCGGACGGCACACTCACCGGGGCGGCGCGGCGGCCCCGGACGCCACACTCACCGGGCGGCGCGGCGGCCCCGGACGGCACACTCACCCGAGTTGCATCCTCCACTTTGGCGATCTTCAGCTGCTTGTCCACGGCGAAGCTGTGCAGGAAGTTGCCGCCGAACACGAGCGAGTCGGCGGGCGTGTAGACAGCATGGATCCAGCCTGCGACGCGGGGCCACATCAGACCGGCGCGACACGTCTGGCTGGGGCGCGGACACATCAGACCGGTACGGCACGGCTGGCTGGGGCGTGTCGACACATCAGACCGGCACGGCACGCCTGACTGAGGCGCTGTGGACACATCAGACCGGTACGGCACGCCTGGCTGGGGCGCCGTGGACCATCAGACCGGTACGGCACGCCTGACTGGGGCGCGTGGACACATCAGACCGGTACGGCACCGTCCGGCTGGGGCGCGTGGACACATCAGACCGGTACGGCACGCCTGGCTGGGCGCGTGGACAACATCAGACCGGTACGGCACGGCTGACTGGGGCGCGTGGACACATCAGACCGGTACGGCACGTCCGGCTGGGGCGCGTGGACACATCAGACCGGTACGGCACGTCCGGCTGGGGCGCGTGGACACATCAGACCGGTATCGGCACGTCCGGCGGGGCGCGTGGAACATCAGACGGTACGGCACCGTCCGGCTGGGGCGGCGTGGACACATCAGACCGGTACGGCACGCCTGGCTGGGGCGCGTGGACACATCATACCGGTACGGCAACGGCTGGCTGGGGCGCGTGGACACATCAGACCGGTACGGCACGTCCGCTGGGGCGCGTGGACACAAATCAGACCGGTACGGCACCGTCCGGCTGGGGCGCGTGGACACATCAGACCGGTACGGCACGTCCGGCTGGGGCGCGTGGACACATCAGACCGGTACGGCACGGCTGGCTGGGGCGCGTGGACACATCAGACCAGCACGGCACGGCTGGCTGGGGCGCGTGGACACATCAGACTGGTACGGCACGCCTGGCTGGGGCGCATGGACACATCAGACCAGCACGGCACGGCTGGCTGGGGCGCGTCGACACATCAGACCAGCACGGCACGGCTGGCTGGCTGGCGTCCGGCTACACCGACACGCAGACACGCAACGAATGACGAATGTCACCGAGCCACCGCGAGACCCACGGTGTACGTTTGGTGCACGTGGATCCGGTGGTTTGTGTAACGCGTTTTCTTGATGGATCCCGTACTGGATCAGTTATGGCCAAATCGACAGCTGCTTCCTTCAAACAGCGCCGTACTGAAGAGCCTAGCATCCGGATCACAGACCCTGTTTATCCAGGGACTTCGGCAATTATCTTGTTGACGATCACAAACAACAGCCAACAATTCTCAAACTTACGAAATCAATCTCATAGCTATTGCCATCGCTAAGTGACTGGCAGCCACCATCAATACTTAAGTTTAGGATCAATGACAAGGCTATCGCAAACGGCGCCGCCCTGCACCCCGCCATAACCCAGCCGCTCTACACCCGATCGCCAGGGGGAACCGGCTGGGTTTTTTTTTCTCGTTCGACATGCCCATCCCTTGCCCAGTAATTCGCACTCCCCTCACTATTCGCCGAATCGGGCATCTGCTGGTCGTGCCTTCTCCCACCAATCCACCAGAAAACCGTTTCCTGGGACTATACGCCATATCCGGCTGGCGATCTCCAGTAACTCCAGCCGGCCCCACGCCCTCCAGCAACGAGTGGTTGCCGCGAAGCCAAACCCACCGGTGGGGATGAAGAAGGTGTCGCCGGGCTTGAGCTCGATCCTGCCGCACTGCTCCACCGTGTCGCCGAAGAAGACGTCTCCCTGTTTGCCGGACAGCACCCAGTTTTCGTAGAGCTGCACGTTCTGGTCGCTGGGCGGGATCAGCCAGAAGACCTGCCGACAGGAGGACTCGCATCACGCGCCCCGCCGTCGCCCTCCACACCCTCGCGGCTGCGACGGTGAGGCGAGCGTCAGCTGGCGGTAACACGTGACCTAGGAGTCAGCTGAGCGAGGCTGGCGTCAAGCTCCGCCTGAGATGCCACAACTGTAAGCTTGGTGGTACCTGCGCCCCAATGTCAGGACAAACATTCACCATCGGAGATGTTTGTCGATGTGTACAGCGCCATCACGGGACACACCGCGTCAAACATAGCAGCGGCCATCCTGACCACGCATTGTTTACCTTGCCGCCCTTGAGAACATGGTACCAGACCGATGTGCCCCCGAAGTCGATGTGGAAGTCGGTTGTAGCAGCCGTTGACCGACATGAGGCAGTACTTCTGCACCTTGGGGTACATCATGTCGTCCAGCACGTTGGTGGACTCTGTCTGCAGCTCCTTGAGGTGGCGCGGCCAGACGCGGTCCACCCAGTCGATCTGCCGCACCTGGGGGGCGGTCCGGACGCGGCTGGAGCACATCTCGACCAACACGCGGCGCGCACGAGGGCAGAGGACGGGGGGGGGGGGGGGGGAGGGAAGACGAGTGATCGCAGCACGTGGTGACCGTTTACCATGCACACGTGGAAGCAGAACGGGCTTCAAATGTGCATGACAGATGCGTATCAATATCGTGGTGCCAAAATGAAATTTGCTACTCTCAAAGGAACCGCATCACAGCCAGGCAATGGTGCACGTACTCACAAATGAGATACTTCGAGGTGACAAACGATAAATACGGGATGGGAGAAAACGTTGCGTCGAGGAGAGCGTGTTGGAAAACCACGAAGTTTAACACCATTATCTTCTGTTTCCCTGAAGGCGTTGACCGAGCGGCCAGATCGACGACCAACCACTCACTAAACCAAGAATGACTAGACGACTTGCTAAGATGATGACGGATGGCTAGACAACTTCAAGAATTCAGTTATGAGGAAACGGAATCAATGTCTTCCCCTTCACCAGGCAAATACAGGACAGGTAGCAGCGGATACGATACGACACAGCAACGTAACACCGCCTAGCTCCATGTCTCCGGGCTTCTCCCGAAAACCAGAGAATGCCGCTCTCAGCCAGCCAGAAAACCAGAGAATGCGACGTGGCGTCCGCCGTCCGTCCATCCGTCGGTCTGCCCGGCACCCGGCGCCTCTCTGCGCCACCCCAAACCCACCACGGTCGGCGCGTCCACCAGCCTCTCCAGCTTGGTGTGGCTGAACTCCAGACTGATGACGTTCAGCAGCCGGTCTTTGGCGGGGTTCTCGAAGTACTGCTGCCACTCCTTCATCGTCATCTCCATGTTCTTCTGCGTGCGCACGTCCATGACGTCCAGCATCCGCCTGGAGCCTGCCAACCCCGCGGCGAGCCTCAGATGAGCTTTTCGGTCCATACCGGTGGTGCATTTTAACGATGACACGGCGGTCAGGAAACCGATACGCTTAGGTAACAATAGTACGGGCTTAACTTCCTTCCACCTGGCACGAACGTGGAGTGCCAATCCAGGCGGGAATCGCTGCGTTCCGTGAGGTATTCAGGGAATGCGGTATGACACTGCTTGTCGCGAGTGGTGACGCTTGAATTTTGTTTAAGTATTCCGCATGAGCGTGCTGTGCGTCCAGGTAAGCGTCGTTCGGGGTAGCCCAGTCGTTATGCGACAGCTGACGCCTAAGCATTTCATTACGGCACCAGGCCTTCGGACTATGGCGTTCCGTCCTACGATAGACCGTTCTGGTCCGGGATCAGAATGAGACAGTCTAATAATCGACGGCATTACCGGACGGCGTGATTATTGTCTGGTTTGATCCGAGACGCGCAGCACCCGCGGGAGCGATGTTCCCAGGCGACCCTCAGGGTAGGGAGGATGCCGTACTAACCGACAGCCAGGCGACACTCGGGGTAGGCAGGATACCGTACTAACCGACAGCCAGGCGACACTCGGGGTAGGCAGGGTGCCGTACTAACCGACAGCCAGGCGCACGTCGTTTATCGTGAAGCTCGAGGGCGGAACGTTAATGCCGAGATGATCTTTCGAATGGAAGACCAGCGGTGTGGAAAACCCGTTCACCTGGATCCAGGCTAGGTCGAAATCTGTAAAGTGCACAGCCATATCACGTGCCACGACGACAGCGTGATCCATACGGCTACCGTGTACAGCAGCTGGCAGGTCGCGGCTATGACATATGGAACGGTGTCCCCAACTACGAGCTGGCACAAACGTCATGAACTGCGCGCGACTGATAGCAGGTCAGCCACATCAATAACATCGTGAAAAGAGTGATTTATGAGTAGCGGAGAGGAACCGAAACATCAATTGATACAGACGTAGAGCTAAATCAGAGAGGATATAAAAATCAGAGGTTCATAATACCTTTTCCTTCCATTTCCTTTACAAAACATTGTGGAAAATTGTCGCTGGCGATTTTCTGATCAAGATCGAACGATCGTTGTCCTTCCAATTCTTCTTCAGCCAAATTCCAATCATCTGTGTATATTTTCCTGTCCTTTTCACGCTGGAAGATAGAAGATACGTATGATTGATCGAAACGTTTCACTCCGGTCAACACTCAGTGGTGGGTCAGGCAGGCAGTGTTTCATCAAACAGTGAACTATAATCTGACCATAACCTGTCTTAACCATAACATGTCACCTTTAGAATAAAGAAGATAACTTTACACACACATACGCACATTATTGCAAATCAAACGGCCATTGGTTGTATTAACTGCAAAAGAACATCTCGCGGAACACAGTGAAAAAGCCAGCTGGGATTTTCAAGCACACATTGGTGAAGCCCACAGCCTTTTAGACTAGCCTGTGAAGATCCCGTTCGCTAGCCTAACTACATAAGAAGAAAGCCAGCGGCGCAATTTTCAACAGTAAAGCTGGCTCCACATCCATCATTCCCCAACCTTGCATTGTTTAGCCTCGGATGACATCTCTCCGGTGCAGCGCCGCCTCCGACGGTTGAGGTCTCCGCCCACCGCCGCGTCAGAATAAGCCGACCGACGCCCACGCTTAAAGTCGTCCGACGTTTTTAGATTGATGACGCCCATTTACGGGAGTAGCTTTATTTAACGCTGCGACGACTCCCCCCCCCCCCCCCCCCCCTCTGAACGGGGCGAGGGCGAAACGGCTAGGACGGGAACAGAACGCAACGGGTAGTCGGGTCATACCGTGCCCTCAGACCAACGGCAGCTCACAGCGCGCCCTCAGGCCTACGGGTAGGCGGCCTAGTCCGCGTCCTCAGGCCCACGGCAGCTCACACCGCGCCTTCAGGCCTATGGGCAGGCGCCCTACTCCGCGCCCTCAGGCCCACCGCGGCTCCCACCGCACTCTGAGGCCCACGGCGGACGAGGGCCGCGAATCATGGAATGCAACATTTCAGAAACATCCAAACACGGACTAAAGTGCAAGGTTCGTGGCATTCTCTCCCCACGGGGGGGGGGGGGGGGCATGCGGATGTCGTATCTTCGTTGGAACACTGACATCGAGTGCGTTCTGTCCCCACACCCCACCACACACCTACCTTGTTCTCACCTTCAGGTCATCAGTGTGTCCTTTCCCCAGGCCATCAGTGAGCCCCACCCAGGCCTTAGTGAAACCTCTATATGGAGGAGGAAATATAATGAAATTTCAATTGTCCTAAAATGTCACTGATCAATGTGTGGCTTGAGACAAACAACAAAGAACTTTCCACCTGAATGGACAGTGACTGGCTGCTACTTCATGTTTTCCTGTCATCGTGAAATGTACCATGACAACAAGCAACACTGATCAGAGGACATCTGTGTCCAGCCCTATACTGTTTGGGTGCCACCCTGGAGTTCATCTACTCCTCCAAACAGAATGGATCTTACACATTTGGTATGCATCAGATCCCAAATCTGTTATTTACACCTTGCAGTAAATGACCAGAGCTCCTATATTCTAAAGTATAATTTATTCCTTTCCCATCAACATGCACCATTCCAATGACAGATGTAGTCATAGACACCTCAAACTTCATAACATAAACCCAGCTCTAACCTAAAAATAATGTAACAGTAAAACTATGCAATGCTACACTGACAATAATAACTTAACATGGCGGTGGGAAATACATCCCTGAATATCTGGTGGAATGATGAACACGTCAGCCAGGAAACGTGGGTGTTGACATGTATGACGATTTACTTTTTACATTGTTTAGCACATAAGATTCTAGATGTGTATATGCAGCTTTGGTCCTTTTTCAAAAAGACATTGCATAGTTCCAGAAGTCTATGAAACAGACTCTATCATAGTTCTTTAATTGAATGTGTTGGGCACCAAGCAATGCACAAAAACATTTATGGCCCCCTTTAAGGACACACATGGGTTGACACATGATGGGTGGTTTTCTCCTGAAGGGGATGTGCTACATTTATTTGTTCTTCATCTTTCAAAGCTATGATTCCCTGCACTGCATGCTCACACTATGGCTCACACTATGATAGCTGAGTCTTTGGTAGATTTTCTTGCATGACACCAAACTGCAAATTTGGGTTGCAGAACTCTGCAACTGAGGTGATGTTCCCGCCCATCACATGACTCACTGCAAACTGCCAAACACTGCTGATTGCTGTGGTCATGGAATACAAACACACAACTAACATATCATCCACTCAGGGCCTGGATGTTCAAGGTACAGATAGAGGTTCATCAAGAGGACCATGGCAAAATAGTTTTGGTTTTGAGTTTTAGTAATAAAGCCCTTGGTTCCTTGATAGTGTTTGACCCATACTTCTTTGTATATTAATGGTCTGTTATTGCTACAATACGTGATCCCATCCTACTATGCTGAAGAACCAGCAGCTCAAGACCTTTCATGCCTCCATGAATACATGAATTATATTGATTTGATCATATCATTTATATGGAACAATGTCTTCATTTCCCACCAGACTTATACATTTGGTTATGCTTAAGTTCACTTAATTATTCATACTATCTTTACACTTTGCTTCCCTATGTTGCATCATGTAGCACATGTGTGTCACACAGTGCTATGAAGTGTGTCAAAAATGAATTATGATTGCAGATGGTGTGTAGAACATGTGTAACTTACACAAATTCCACCATCATCTGTAAATTCATTAGTTGACACAATCCATTTCTCTTGTTACCATTTCATTTGATGGCTAACTTTCCTGTACTTGTTTTTGAAGAGGTCATATTCATCTTATCATTCAGCATGTTTTTACCAACTATAGGCCAGCCTCATGACCAATCTTGATATTTTGTCAGTGTGGCAGGGGCCAGGGGTGTATCTGTTGGTTGGGCACTAGATGGGTCATGCACAAACAAAATCATTTTACCAGGCATGGAATATTTTCTGTACCCAAAACTGGGCAGGGAAACAGAGAGCAGTGAGTTTGACAAGAAAAACCAGGAAAACCATCATATATCATGGATTTGGCTATTTTTGGAAATGGCCAAATGCAATCCAGCACTGCCAGCAGAAATCTATTTGAATGCATCAAACAACCTGACAATTTTAGTTCCACAACATGAGGTTGCAAGCTGCAACCTGTGGTTTTATCCAATGTCAAATAATATTGTCTTATATTTTGCTCCAGATGCCACCTGGTAGCCAATGCAAACATGCCACAAGAACATAAGGGGCAGACAGAATTCCACCCAAATAACATGGCAAACTGCCACATTTTGGGCAGATTTTAGCCTTCCTCATCCCAAAACAATTTGCATCACATTTTTTGATAGGCTTTTACAAATTGAAAGTTGTGCCCCACCTCTGCCCCCAAAAGATCCCAAAATCAGTAATGGTACGCAGACCTGTATGTGTGCACCACAATATGTAACTAAATAATCAAGCAGCAGATGGCTTCAGCCTGTTATTTATCTCCTCCAAAAATACTGAACATCAGCTAGAGCAAATTCGTCATATCTTTGGGCAGGGGACCGCTGATGAATCATTTGACTACATGCCTGAGGTAGTGTTTGGCACAATTTAACTGGACCAGCAACATTAGAGTGATACCAATTTGCATCCTTGTCATTGCATGATTAAAGGTTCCTTGTAAGGACAGGATTTCCCGAATGCCAACTGATAATTCGAAAATCTCATCCTTATCTTTCCAACTGGAAGTCATCTTTTGATTATCACTCCGTGACCCACCGTTTTGATTCTTCGCGTCTTTCTGGCTTTCTTCGGAGAGTCACCATCTTCATCACCAGATCCTCCCGCCATGCTTTGAGAACAAATTCACTTTCAATCCGACCACTCAACCAGCCACCGACGTTCACCCCACCATATCACCGGACCCACCGCCCTATCCAGCAATACAACACACCAAATCCGGCTAATTGTTATGCGTTCTGTAGTCCCTAACTTGAGGCAAGTGTGACGCACCCAGTTTTGGCGCAAGGGAACTTTATTTGACGCTTAGAGGTATTATGCAACCAAATTATGGTGCAGGGCAAGTGGTGAATATCCTTGTTGTTTTTTTGCTCTTGAGCAAGATTTTCATACTGTGATTGCAGTCACCATCGATGCAGCAATTTCAGATTGGTTTTTCAAATAAAAAACAATCTTTGCGTCGACCAAATGTCTTAAATTCCAATTTGAGCATCAAGGACGCCAATGAATATGGCCGAAATCCGGGGTCAAATCAGGATTTGAGGGCAAGGCCAATTTTACTGGGTCAGCCTCCCAGTCGATTTTAAAAAGGGGCACCCCTGCTGAGCAGTGAAAATGGTCCAACCTACCCACAAAATACGCTAGCAAATAGATTCTCCCAGATTCGGCCCACCTTCTTTGAAAAGTCGGGGGGGGGGGGGCTCGACCGAAAGTTTAGGGGATGGCTGGAGCCCCACCCCCCACAAGGGGTGCAGGGGCGTTGATTTGGCTTTTTCGACGCATCGATTGCTGAGGTCATATTGCTCCTTGGTCTGTCCTCGATCCTCTCTTCCACCCTGCCTTCATCGCCGTGTTCTACTCTTTCCTCCGCCTGTGTTCTGATCTATTCTCTGTCTTATGTCCTGTGCTTTCTTGTCGCGCCCGTCGTGCGCATCGTTCAGTGAGATCCTACGCTTGATATGCTGTGTGTGGTCATGCTGTACGTTAGGATGAACTTTGTCCTTTTGGTATGTTATTGTGGAGGTTGGATGTTACCGGCAGTTATTTTCTCAGGTGCCGAAGCGGTCAATTGTGTGGGCTTAAAGCGCATGCCCATAACCTTTTATTTTGTTTGACTAAATGCGAAAACATCTATTTAGTGCAGGTGTCAGGTGAACTATACTTCCTAACAGGTGGATCAGACAGTGTCCCCCCAGAAAAACAAGCTTTGCAGCGTTTAGGGGGGCTACACTCCGCCTATCACACCATATGAGAGATGTGACTTGTTCCACGACAGCCCCACCCTCAACCACCGCCCACCACGAGGGGACTAGATGTGGCGAGAGGTATGAAATCGGGTAAAATTGCAAGCTACCCCAGAACCAAGACCCCTGAACAGCCGTGAGCAGCAAAATACCTGAAGACCTGGCGGGGGTGTTGGACTATTCGCCGGTTCGAGGACTCCCGTTACACGATCCTACAGGGGCGGATCTAGGATTTCGTCAAAGCGGGGGGGGGGGCACGCAATATTGTGGGGCCCTCTGGAGTTAGGTCCCCCCTCCAAAAAATATCCATGCATTTTGGTCATTACATTTTAAGAGAAGTCGTATGTAACACACATGCATACATTTGTACATGTATATATATATATATATATATATATATATATATACATATATAATTATATAGTTATACATATATATATATATATATATATATATATATATATATATATATATGTATACATAGGCACGTATATGTGCATGTATATATTTACTTATTCATTTATTTCATAAATACAGAAACCCGTCTTACTGTGCACAGCCTTCTAAAGCTGGGTATGCTACGCATGCATGCACATAGAACTCACTTTCTGCGGATCATTTCAAATGCTGTGATTTTGAGGCTAAGTGTTTTGGAACAACAGATAAAATAAACTTGAGTTAGCTGTTTACAACCATGAAAACCAAGGATGAGCTTGATTTCTAGCTTATGTCTTACGGCTAGCCGGCTGAGCGATGTAATCAGCTGATGGCTGATGACTAGTGCATAATTTTTCCTCTGTTATAAGGGAGTACAACATATCGTAGCACTCGAAATATGTTGAGAACGTGATGCACTAGTATAAGGAGTGTCACGTACTCAATAGGTAATGAAAATGACACATACGACGTCAGCGGCATATCAAATTACGTTCGGCAATTGCACGTAAAAATTCATCGGCGCGTATTCGACCGCCACTCTGACGCGAAGGCACCAAGGCCAAAAGGGACGAAACCTGAGCAATCATGGGTGCCGCAGGAGGCCAACAAAGTGGCTCCCGTCAACAAGCAGAGGGTCCGCAGAGCAAGCCAAAAGAACCCAGGACTAACGTGATGGGCCCATGAACGACCGGTAGTGCCCCGGCAGGCTGAAATATAAAGCCCCGGCCAGAGCACAAAACCCTCTGAGCGAAGGGGAATTATCCAAGACCATGAATTAATACCCCTGTGCGACCAAGCGTGCGCGGGTGGGTTAACAATACGAGCCTCGATAGGAGTGAAGAGTCCTCTGTAAATGAGACCAAAGAGAGAGAGAGAGAGCCCTCGATCAAAGCAGATGACCCCTGAGCATCGAGTATCTTCGTGCCTTACCTTATAAAAGCCCTAGCAATAGTACAAGGGCCTCCAAGCAAGTAAGAAGAGCCCGACACTTAAGTGAAGGGATGCTGAGCAACTGTGTGTACCCTGGCATATGGGACCTGGAAAAAGCACAAAGAGCCTTTCGGGCGAATGGGAAGAATCCGCGGAGGAAAACCTGATCGATCAACGGTGCTCAGGCATGGAGGCAGATAGCGCCCCAACAGCGAATTGGGGCCTACGAGAAAATGCAAAGAGATCAAGGGCAATGTGGAAAGCTCCTTAGTGATCAGAATGACCTGGCAAGTGGACATATAGGGCCAGGAAGCCAACAGCGCAATGGCTCTAGACAGCGTGATGAGCTCCAAAATCCAAGCAACACTTTCTCAATCAGCAAAAAATGAACTTGGTCTGCTTATGAACTCTTGCCTTTGGTAGCGATTGTTCTTGGTCGTCTGTAGACCCAAAATATTCCAATTTTGTTGTGTTTTTGTTATAAGAAAACTGCATCCGTCCAGCCAGTTAGGGGCCCATTCGGAGCCTTTAGGTACTCACGGCATGGCCCATGAGGCATGGTCCCGTGTCTCTCCCCCCCCCCCCCCCTGCATCCGCCACCGGCCCGAGCAGCTTAATAGATGGGGTCCGCCAAGAACATAGGGCCATCCATTCAAAAAACAAATGCTCACGACACGATGTGTAAGGCTCAGAACGATCGAGTGTGCCCGAGCAGGTTAACAGATAAGTTTCCCAAAGGGAGCGAAGGGCCTCCATTCAAATAGGAAGTATTCAAAAACCAATGCAGAGGACCCACGAATAATCCAGTGCGTCAGAATAGGTTAACATATAGGGCCCCCGTCAAGAGCGTAGGGCCCTCCATTCAGATAGGAAATACCCAAAACCCAATGAAGAGCGCCCTCGAATGATCGAGCGTGCCCGAGCAGGTTAAGCGTAGGGCCCTCCATTCGAACGGGCAGGACCGACGACTTTATGTGAATGGCCCCAGAATGACAGAATGTGCCCGAGCAGGATATCAGAAGGGGGCCCGAGAAGAACGTAGGGTCCTCCATTTAAATGAGAAGTACCCAAAACCCAGTGCAGAGGGCCCCCGAGAGATGGAGTATACCCGAGCAGATTATCAGGTGGCCCAGACAAGAATGTAGGGCCCTAAACTCAAACACTAAGATCCAACGTGCGGGGCCCCCGGACAATTAAGTGTGGCCGAAGCGGCGGACAGATAGTCCCAGACGAGTGAGTAGGGCCCTCCACTCAGATAGGAAGTACCCAAGACACTATGTGGAAGGCCCTTGGATATTCGATTGTGCCCGAGCAGGTTAACAGATGTGGCCCCGGCAAGAGCGTACGGCCTTCCGTTCAAATATGAAATACCCACGACACGATGTAGCGGGCCCGAATAACCGAGTGCGCCAGAGCAGGTTAGATAGGGCCCCCGAAAAGCACGGAGGGCCTTCCATTAAAAAAGGATGTTCCCAAAACCACATGCAAAAGTACACCACGATCGAATGGGCCCGAGCATCTTATCAGCAGGGGCCCCGACAGGAGCGTAAAGCCTTCCACTCAAATAAGAAGCACCCAAAACCCGATGCGGAGGGCCTCCGAAAAATGGAGCGTACCCGAACAGGTTATCAGATGACCCCGATAGGAGCAGAGGGCCCTAAATTCAACAACCAAGAATCAATGTGTAGGCCCTCTTCCCTCCCCCCCCCCCCCCCAGCAATCCAGTGTGATCGAGGAGGCGAACAGAGTGCGTAGTGCGTTCGACAAGTGCGCAGGGCCCCACTCAAAAAGTATGTGCCCAAGGCCCAATGTAGAGGGCCCCCGAACGATTGAATGTGCTCAAATAGGTTATCAGATAGCCCCTCCCCCCAAAAAAAGCGCAGGCCCCCCATTAAGACAAGAAGTACACAAGACCCAGTGTGAAGGGTCTCCAAACGACTGGTGTGCCCAAGCAGGCTATCAGATGGGCCCCAGACAAGAGTGCATGGCCCTAAGCAAGTGATAGCAAATTGGAAGCGCCCGAGACCAATGAAGAGGGCCCATGATCATATTGCAAGTGTGTTGGTAGGTTAACTGAGACCCACGAAAGGGCCACTGAGCAATCGAGAATACCGCGGCCGGTTAAAATATGGGACCCCGGCTATAGCCCACAGAGCCTTTCTGGCGAATGGAAAAAAAAACAGGTGGAAGGGTCCGTGATTGATGAGAGTGCCCCGGCACGCTAGCAGGAAGGGTCCAACAGCAGCGCAGGCCCCTCGAGCAAATCCGAAGACATAAAGGGCAACGTGGAATGCTCCTTAACTATCGAAGTGATCCTGCAAGTGGGCATATAAGTCTCCCAGAAACAGCATGGGCCCCTAGACAGTGTAATGAGGCTTAACATTTTCAGTTCACAACGTTTCCAATCATTTAATATTTGTTTTGACTTCTCATAGACCCTTTAATATCGCTTGCAACTGTTCTTGGTCGTCTGGAAGTCCAGGGATATATAGTTTTGTCGCGTATTGTGCTAAAAAACTGCGCCTGTTCGGCTGGCGATGGGCTCCCTCGGAGCCAGTGGGCCCCTTTTGGGCCCAAGGGGACCATGACCCCGT